AACTGAAGCCAAGGTGAAATCTACATTCGCGGGATGGGAAGGGTCGGCTTGAGTGCTGGCAGTCAGTTCTGCTGCTCGAGCCTGAAGCACGGTCTGGCATCGGCGCTTGACTTCGTCGCATCGGCTGGACAGGCTGGCGAAAAAGTCGCCCACCTTCTCCTGGACTGCGGCACGGGTCCCCAGGCACAGGTTGGCGGTCACCTCTTGACGTACCCAGCCCCAAATAGCCTCGTCGGCGTTGAAATCTGGGCTATAGGTGGGCAGGTTCACCAAGCGCAGGTTCAAGTTGGGGTTGGCCAGGTAGGCTCGCAGCGCGTCGCCCCTATGAGCTGGGGAATTGTCCCAAATCACCGTCAACGGTTCGGTGTGTTGCGCCCGCAGTTGACGCAGGAAGGCAACCGACAGGAAGGCAACCGAGGTGGTGGAGTTGCTGTTACCTTCCAGTTCCATCAACTCCACCTCTCCGGTTTCCAGACACACCGCCGAGTAGTAGCTCGCCTTCTCCCCACGTCGCGGGCTGGTGGAGTCCACCAGCGCCGGTTCACCCTTCAGCACCCATTTGGCCCGCAGATCCGCATCCGCCCGAAAGTGAGCCTCGTCAGCGAAGAATATCTTGGCCCCAGTTCGTCGGGCCGCCGCTGTCAAGGCAATGTACTCCCTCACAAAGCCTTCCCGCCGTACCGGGTCTGCCTTGACCAACCGCTTCTTGGGACGCTTCAGGACAAAGCCCAACCGGTGCAGGTAATTCAGGCAACCACTCCGGCTCAGCGTCAACCCGAAGCGTTCCTCTACCAACCGGCGCACCGCCTTCCAGTTCCAGTTGGACAAATCGATGCCAGCTTGCGACGGCAATTCCTGCACCGCCGCCTTCAACTCGGCCTGCCGCTCCCGGTTCAATGCGGGGGGGAACCTCCTGACTGCTCAAAAGCCAGCGCCTCAGGACCACCCTCCCGGAATGCCGTGGCCCATTGGCCAATAGTGTGGGCGTCCCGTTCCAACGCCGCGGCCGCGGCCGTCCAGCCTCGCGCCAGCAACCACACCGCGTGCCACCGTTCCCGCTCCCGAGGCGTCGGCGCTCGGTACATCCGTCGTCGTACCGCAGCCTCATCCATGCGCCACCGCTCCAGCAGCGCTCCCATCTCCAGCATACCCACCAGCAACCCCCGGCAACTTCCCAACCGGCTTGCGACGGCAATCCTGCACCGCCGCCTCAACTCGGCCTGCCGCTCCCGGTTCAATGCGGGGGGAACCTCCTGACTGCTCAAAAGCCAGCGCCTCAGGACCACCCTCCCGGAATGCCGTGGCCCATTGGCCAATAGTGTGGGCGTCCCGTTCCAACGCCGCGGCCGCGGCCGCGGCCGTCCAGCCTCGCGCCAGCAACCACACCGCGTGCCACCGTTCCCGCTCCCGAGGCGTCGGCGCTCGGTACATCCGTCGTCGTACCGCAGCCTCATCCATGCGCCACCGCTCCAGCAGCGCTCCCATCTCCAGCATACCCACCAGCAACCCCCGGCAACTTCCCAACCGATCCTCTCAATTCCTTCCAATTCTATCTAAACCAAGTGCGGGTTTCACCTTGGCTTCGGTTTAGGTTGTCCGAACCGCGGTCCAAGAGCAGTCGGCAGAAGGGGTGAACCGGTGAAGAATCGGACCCAGCTAACGGATGCCGTGGCGGTGGCCCCGCATCACGCCACGCCGGGCCTGCGCGCTCTGTGGATCATCCTGATCGCGATAGTTGTCGTTTCATTCGCGGCCCTGCTCTACGACGGCCGCGAGATCTGCCAGGAGTCTCCACCGGTTCGGGTACATCCATGATGGCAGATTGCATCAGTGAACTCTGCTGAAACAACAAGCCGGCGTCATCATTTCACGACTGCCCGAGTGAACGAATCAAGGCCCCGCCTAGAAAAGTGGCAGAGTTTGGCGCAGACTCGGCCACTCCAGTGATCTACCGGTCGCCGGCTCCTGTAGGTTCCCGTGTCCGCATTATCAGCGCCCGTTGCTTATTGCCACTGCGTCAGTTCACTTCCGTCCAACTAACAGAACCGGTCCGTCCGGCGGTGGGCACGAGGCGCCGCGGTATTTCCAAAAGCCGGCCGGCCGATTCCCGCTGAGCCCAATGGACACCGATGCGCGCTAGCACGCCAGCCGGCCAGGCAAAGCCGCCGGCTTACATTAGCAGGAGAGCGTCATCGTTGACTTGGGTAGGTTCATCCTTTGCGGAAGGATAAGCCAGGCGTCCAAGGGAGAGCGGTACCCCGCCGAGGACGTCCGGTGGTTCGAGGACCATGCTGATGACGCGAAGACACCGTCGACCACCCGCCGCAGCTACCCGAGCCCGTCTCCGGGGCGACCGATAGCGACCTGAACGGGGACGGGGACGCCGTCGTAAACCCGCCCTGCGGTCGTGATCGATTGGTGTATGGGTAGCGGTGTTCATCCATCGGTCGACCATGATTGGCGTCCCGTACCTGTCGATTCAGCGAGAGCCTTGGCAGAGCCAGATGGTCAAGGCATCAAGGCAGTGGGTTGACTTGCCAGAAGGTTTCAACCGGTCAGCGCGTATTCTCGCACCATGGTGGCAAAGCCGTCCTCGGCCAGCGTCGGCCCAATGCGCATGCCCTCGCCCTGTACGGCCGCCCGGACCGGCTCTTTGGCGTTGCCCATAAGCACGCCGATGCCGGCCGCGCGCAGCATAGGAAGATCGTTGTCGGCGTCGCCAATGGCCAGAACCCGCTCCAGGGGCACGCCCATCTGCTGGGCCAGCATCATCAACGCCCGGCCCTTGTCCACGCCGCGGCGCATCACCTGCACTCGGTCGGGTAGCGCCCAGCTCACGTTTACCTGAGCGCCGCCCAAGGCCTCCAAATCAGCGATGTGGCCGGGCCGCTCGTCGGGATCAACTACCATTATGGCCATGGGCGGAGGTTTGTAGTCGCCGACCAGACAGCGAGAATATAAATCGGGGTCAAGAACAAATCCCGGCCCCCCGAATGCCTCCAGGCCATCGACCGGTTGGGCGTGCCGGTACTCCTCAACGACTTCGCCGTCGATGCGTTCGAACTGCGCGCAAACCAGGTTCAAATTGGCTCCATGCGCGTAGCGCGCCAATTCCACGAAGATGTCTGCGTCCAGCCGATCCTCGTGCATCACTGGACGTCCCGAACCCGCATCAGGGCCGACGATCACCGATCCGTTGTAACCGGCCAGATACAATCCTGAAACGAGTTGGGAGTGCCCCTCGAAAGCCTCCAAAGTGCGTCTGATGCTCCGGCCGCTGATGCTAACCGCGGTGATGCCGCGCAGGACCAGGTCGGCGATGGTTGCAGCAGCCGTGTCCGTGAGTCGGCTCTGAGGGTCCAGCACCGTACCATCGAGATCAAAAGCCACTAGGTCGATCATGGAAGCTCCTCACCCCGGTGGTCAAACACGGCATGGTATTCAGGAACTGCCGGAGAGCCAGATGTCGTTCCACTGATGGGGGATGTGGTCGTTATTCGCGATTGTATCGTACCAGTCGAGCATCAGGCCGTGCCATTCGGGTTTAGCCAAGGCGAGGCCATACACGGTTGTGCACGGGTTTCGTTCCAGAATTGCCCTGGCGGCCAGTGACAGGGTCTTGCCGGTAGCTACAAAGTCATCGACGATAATCACTGTGTCGGCGTCCGTGGAGGCAGAGCGATAATCGGCGTTCTCCGCCAGCAGAACGCGAAATGCAGGGTCGAGAGCGCCACGACCCGTGGGCAGGTTGACGTTCTTCTGCAACAGCCCTGGCTCATAACGGCAACCGGCAACCTCGGCGCAGCGCTGGGCGATCATCGCCGGCACGCCGTTCGGGTCTGCGGACCGCTCGGCCGAGCGAAGGGCCGGCGCGAAGACGGTTCGGCTAACGCTCAAGCCCAAGCCATAAACAAGGATGCGGGCAGCGTGGACCATCAGCCTTGCGGCGCCTGCTGAAGAAACATCGTCGGGTTCGAACTTGAACTTCGTGAACCGATCGCTCCATAAATCGCCAGAACGGTCTTCGAGGCGGTAGCCTAGAAAGAAAGCAGCCGACACGCCGTCACTGAAGGTCAGCGCATCTAACCGAAGCAGGTTATGGAAGATATGGTTCATACCAACACCCAGACCCGACGCTGGTCCCCGTCTTCGCCGATGTAGGGCGGGCCCCTCCAAGTC